GGTCTTCCAGAACGCCTTCACCTCCGTCAGCAGCTGCTCCCCGAGCCGGGCCAGCATCCTGACCGGCTTACCACAGGTAGGGGCACCGCCAGCCCCCGGCACTCCTGTGGCACAGTCCCAGGACGGGGTGACCCCCACTGTCTGCTGGCCCACCCTCTTCCCAGCCCCCAGGACCTGCTTCCCCCGCTCACACACTGAGAGCACGGCTGGATGTGTTTTGGGGCCGGGCTGGCAGCCCGTGTCCAACCGTGCTGTGTCCCCTCACCTGCAGCACCAGAACGGGATGTACGGGCTGCACCAGGACGTGCACCACTTCAACTCCTTCGACGGCGTGCGGAGCCTGCCCCACCTGCTCAGCCAAGGAGGTGTCCGGACAGGTAGGGAGCCAAAGGCAAGGGACAGGGGAAGGGAAACCCCCCCTTGGTGCACCAAACCCCAGTGAGCAAGAGAGCTTGATGGCTAAACTGCCCGTGAGCCAGGGAACACCCCCTGGACCCATGCCTGTCCCCCAGGGAGGAGACAGTGGTAGCCATGTCCCCCCATTCCCCTGCTGCTCCTGGCACACCACTTGTCTCTGTTCATGCAGGGATAATTGGGAAGAAGCATGTTGGGCCAGAGGCTGTGTACCCCTTCGACTTTGCCTACACAGAGGAGAACAGTTCAGTCCTGCAGGTTGGGAGAAATATCACCCGGATCAAAGCGCTCATCCGGCGGTTCCTGCAGAGCCAGGACGAGAGGTGAGATGGCCTCCACATCCCAGTTGGTCTGGGTCACCCCATATCCAGAAGCCCAGACTAGGTGGGAGTCCTCCTGCCAGCCCCAGCTCGTCCCAGCAGAGGGTCTCAGGGGGTGTGGGCAGCCTTTGCTCTACCACCTCCACCCTTTCCATCCCTAGGCCTTTCTTCCTCTACGTCGCCTTCCATGACCCCCATCGCTGCGGGCACTCCCAGCCCCAGTACGGGGCCTTTTGTGAGAAATTTGGCAATGGAGAGAGTGGGATGGGCTGGATCCCTGACTGGAAGCCACAGATTTACCACCCAGAGCAAGTGCAGGTGGGAACCTGTGGGTCTGCACGGGGCTGTGTGGGCCCCTGTGGGGGCTGCATGTGACGGCAGCCTCTGATGGAGCCAGGGCTGGCCCCCACCTCGTCACTGCCAGCAGCATTACAGGCAAGAGCTGGTGAGGGCCACCGTGGTGGACCTGTGACCTCTGTCTCCGTGGTGGCCATGTGCCACTCTCCCCTTCTCCGTTTAGGTCCCCCCCTTTGTTCCTGACACGCCGGCTGCCCGGGCCGACCTGGCTGCCCAGTACACAACCATCGGGCGCATGGACCAAGGTAGGAGCCGCAGGGCCAGGCTGGCACTGGTGAGTGCTGCAGACCCTCCTGCCCCCCTCAGCTCTGCCC